TAGTTGCCCTGGAATGGAGTAGCTTGCTGAGACCATTTTAGAGGGCAATGGGTCTGGAGTCACATGTAAGCCAGACCAGGTGAGGACAGCAGATTAAATGGCATTAGTGAATAAACAGGGTTTTAAACAAAAGTAGTTTCATGACAACTATTACCAAGATAATCATTCAACTCCAGATTCTAATTGAATTTAAATCCCACCAATTGCCAGCCAGGGATTTGTATCCATGACTCCACAGGCCCTCTGGATTATGACTTCAGTAAGATCACCACAGGACCACAATAACTGGAAACAAAGAGAGTGACATTTTGTTACAGTTGTATAGTGGTCATGAGGTCAAGTCGAGAGATTAATACTCAGTGTTGGCCTCCTTGTTTTATAAATGTGTGATGAATGTTTATGATTTATTGTCATTATCATTTGGGAACTTAATTTGAAAAGAGAAGGAAAAATGGATTTCAGTTTTCAGTTCCACGGAGGTGTCATGATGAGGAACAGAAATCCAATGTATCATTGACACTGTTAAGTTTTATCTTAGAACTGTATTTTTTTTTAAAGAGGCATGCAAACAAAAAGATTGCTGATGTAAATTTAGTCTCCATCCAGAAAGGTCCTTTGTGAGACTTACTGAATGTTGCCCCTGTAGAACGCCAAGGAAACTTCAAACAGAGACAGAAACATAACAGGGAAAGATAAGACATAGAATGATTTACCCTCACCTCGCTCTCACTAGAAAGCAATCTCTTGCAGAATCTTTGTGCTTTGGCCTCCCAGGAATATACGAAAAAATAAGGATTTAAAAAAGACTGCACCATTCGTTTGTGGTGTATTGTGGTTCTGATGTCCTAGTGATTGGATTAGCATGCTATGAAGGCAACAGCTTTGAGAACTGCCATTTAAACTCTCCTGCAGGACAGGTAAAGGACAGGGGAAAGATGATCCTATTCTGAATGCTGGAAGCCAAGTAACAGATAAGAGAAGGTTCACTAGGTTGATCTGGCATATAGAAGGATTGTTTTATGAGGAGAGGTTGAATAGCTTGGACTATAGGAGAATGAGAGGTTATTAAAACATACAATGATTTGTAGGGAACTTGACAGGGTATATGCAGAGAGGTTGTTTCTCCTTGTGGGAGAGTCCAGGACCAGAGGGTATCATCTCAGAGTGAGGGATCACAAATTTAAGTTAAAGATGAGGAGGAATTTCTTCATAATAATTTTGTTTTTCCTTTATTTATTCATGGGATGAGGGTGTCACTGGCTAGGCAGCATTTATTGCCCATCCCTAATTGCCCAGAGGGCAGTTCAGAGTCAACCACATTGCTGTGGGTCTGGAGTCACATGTAGGGTACACTAAGTAAGGATGACAATTTCCTTCCCTAAAGGACATTGGTGAACCAGATGGGTTTTTCCAACAATCAACAATGGATTCACAGTCATTATTAGACTCTTAATTCCAGATATTTATTGAGATTAAATTCCACCATCTGCCGTAGCAGGATTCTAACCTGAATCCCCTGAACATTATCTGGGTCTCTGGATTAACAGTCCAGCGATAATACCACTAAGCCATCGCATCCCCATATTAATATTCCCCAGAATAATATTCCACAAAAGCCTAAAGAAAATGTTACCTCTTCATCGTTTGCTAAAATTTATTGTCACACGCCATCGGAATGGTGCCTTTGCCTAGAATTCTGTCACAAATAAAATCAGTGAAATTCATTAATGGGAGGTGGGGAAAGGGTTGAAAATCTAAGGGTATTCAGTCTAATTCATTATTTAAAAATGTGCAGTCAATACTTGGTTTGCAAATGAGAGCGTATCTTATTTTGAAGTTGCTTTCAGAAAGTTTTCTAATCCCAGGTACATGCTGTTTTACTCTGTCTGTTGACTTCCCATTTGTTTGACTCTGGTTGTGTCTGTCAGTGAGGGCTATTCTATCCTTTGTTTAAGGGCTAGACCCAAAACGTAAACATTGTCGTGGCTCGTATTTGCGTAAAGTGTGAAATCTATATTGATCCAAACTGTAGGCCGTTGAACATCTGTCTGGAGTAGGGGGTGAAGATCCTATTAATTACCAGATGAAAACAGGAATTCTGCTAAGAAAATTCTACAATATGTAACTCCAGCCATGTGAGCTGCCGCTTCCTGGATAGCTCGGTATGGCATTGATTTAGGATCTTCCTGGTCTGAATTAGAATTAGAATCAGAATTATTGTCACATGTACTCACATGAGTACATTGAAAGTTTACAAGTTGCCACTTACGGCACCATCTTAGGTACCAGGTTAGCTAAGGTACAGAATCTTAAGCACAAATTCTTAGGGAAAAAAATGCAAAAAATAAAGAAATAAAGCATCCAGCAATAAATTAGAAAAATGGAGAAATAAGAGGTCAGAATAACAGTCCGTCCAAACCAGATCATGCCAGGATTCACCTCAAGGCTGGGAGTTCAAGTCCACGCTGAGGCCAGGAGTTCGAGCCCACACTGAGGCTGGGAGTTCAAATCCATGCTGAGGCCGGGAGTTCAAGTCCACGCTGAGGCCAAGAGTTTGAGTCCACGCTGAGGCCGGGAGTGAGAGTCCATGCTGAGGCCGGGAGTTTGAGTCCACGCTGAGGTCGGGAGTTTGAGTCCACGCTGAGGCTGGGAGTTTGCATTCACGCTGAGGCTGGGAGTGAGAGTCCATGCTGAGGCCGGGAGTGAGAGTCCATGTTGAGGCCGGGAGTGAGAGTCCACGCTGAGGCCGGGAGTTTGAGTCCATGCTGAGGCGGCAGTGAGAGTTCACACTGAGGCTAGGAGTGAGAGCCCACGCTGAGGCGGGGACCTTGAGTCCACGCTGAGGCCGGGAGTCAGAATCTGTACTGAGGCTGGGAGTTCAAGTCCACATTAAGGCTGGGAGTTCGTGTCTATGCTGGCTTTCACCCTAGATATTGCTGAGGATGCCTGAAGATGGGAGATAAGGAAAAGATTTAAAAAGTGAAAGGAGAGAGGAAAAGAAGTAAAGGAACAGGTGGACCAGACAAGCTCCGGCTCAGGAGTCCTACTCCACTGCCATCTTGGAAGAATGCATCCTGTTTACAATGAATACTTGTATCCTAATCTGAACTTGGACAGGGACAGCAATGTTAGAATTACTCTCTAATTTGGAAGAGGATCAAATCTGTTTTTCCCATCAGTTGAACAAGGCACCCATGTAGCCCTCAGGTGATGAGAGGTTGCTGTTAATGTCTGGAAGTATCTGAAAGGGCTAATTCCTAACTGAGTGTAATAAACACCATCTGCTGTGATGATATCATAAAGTCTTGCTGGGAGAGCACTGTAGGATCTTGGGAGAGACAGACCTAAGGCTAAGTCCTCCCAACTGTCTTCATTGTAATGTAAAAGCCTATTGTTATAATCAGTAAATATTTGCAGAGATGTAATAAAATATATCTTGTTTACTCTACAAGTCTCTTCTCATTAGACCAGTGTCACACCTCACTCGGGGGACATCAAGCCTTGCTATTCCCAGAGACGTCTTTAAACACTGAATTCTCTCATTTCTTTTAGACCCAGGTTTACAGAAAGCACAGGCCAGGTTTCTGTGTTTAACAAGAATGACTGTTTATTACTCAGTACAGGTACCAATCATGAACCACTGGTATATTATTCTACTGGTTAATACCCTAACCCACTCATATACACTCACACCTTACACACACTCACACAGTCTCACACACACACACACACACACACACACACTTGTGTGCACACACACCCACACACATACGCACTCTCACACAGACACACACCACACACACACTTACACACTGGCCAGTGCTCTCTGTTCACAGGATCCGCTAAAATGATCTTTGTGCTGATCATAAACTGCTTCGCAATCTTCCTTCTCTGAAAGTTTTTACTGCTTTGCAAGAGCTACAGGTTAGCTGGTGCACAGTTGGAAAAGGTCTCTGACTTATTAGTTAAAAGTCACAGCTTACAGCTACTGCTGAAGGAAGAATAAACTGGTTTTCTTCAGGCTTAACCTGGCTTTTACTGCAGAGAACAGCTGGTGAAGATCTGATCACTTCTCATGGTCTCATTTGCAGCCCAAGCTCTTCTGCCACCTGAGAGCCAATCACCTATTTATGATCCATGTATCCAATGGTATTTTGCTTACATAGAAAGTTCTTAGCCAGGGATGCATTGTCCAAGTGATTACGCATTAATGGTTCATCTCCAATTGTTGAAGCCTTCAAGTGATTGCCTTATTACCTTGCCAATAGAACAGGCGATGTGAAATACAATTGTCACACCGTGGTAGTGTCCTTATCTCTGAGCTAAAAGGCCTGGCTTCACATCTCACCTGCTCCAGAGGTGTGTAATAACATCTCTGACCAGACTGATTAGAGAATATCCAGAACAGGAAACGTGGGTCCTTCACATTCCCCAGGAGGCAATCGACTTTGATGGGTTTTGCAGGCACACCATCTCCATTAAAATGAATTGGAATGTGGAATGTATGCTAATGCATATTGGGATAGCCATCTTTGGTTATAATCTCTAGTCACCTTTAGTCTGTGTTTTAAAAATATCTGTTTTGATTTGGTCGTCAGGTTTCCAGCTGATGAATTAACAGTAAATGTTTAGCTTAAAGCATATCTTCGTATCATGTTAAATTGATTGATTGATTTATTGTCACATGTACCAAAATACAGTGAAAAGCTTTGTTTATGAGCAGTATAGGCAAATCACAGCAAGCAAGGGATTTACAAATCAAAAAGACTTAGAAGCATACAGGTTAAAGTGCGGGTTAGATTATTTGAGGCTAGAGTCCGTTCAACAGTCTGATAACAGCCATACAGAAGCTGTTCCTGAACCTGCTTGTGTTCAGGCTTCTGTATCTTCTGCCTGACAGAAGGGGTTGTAGGAGGTCATTACTGCGGTGCGATGGGTCTTTGATGATGTTGGCCGCCTTTCCGCGGCAGCAAGCCGTGTAAATGGAGTCCATGGATGGAAGGTTGACTTCCGTGATGGTCTGGGCTATTCACACAACCTTCTATAGTTTCTTATGGCCTTTAAAATCAGCGTTGGTTCCATAATATTTATTGAAGATCCACTTCATAGTTTACCTTAAACTCTAATCTAAAATGAAAGCAGAAATTGCTGGTAATACTCAGTAGGTCAGGAGGCATAGTGGAGAGAGAGACATCGAATGAATGGGACCTTTCATCAGAATACTTAATCCTTGGCCTCATCTACATCTGTAAACTCATGTCGCGTCAAAACCCTCCAAGATCTCTTGCACTCAGCTACTTCTTACCTCCTGAGTATGCCTGATTTTAATTGTTCCACCATTGATACAGTACCTTTGACACCAAGGGTTCCTTAAACCTCTCTGCTTCTTTAGTTCTCTCTTCCCCTCACAAATGTTCCTTAAGACCTGCCTGTTTGACCAAAGTATGGGTCATCTGCCCCAACAGCTCCTTACCTGATCCGTGTCAAACCTTGTTTGATAATTCTTCTGCAAAGTGTGAAGTTTTATTATGCTCCACATGTTACATAAAACCAAGTTGTTATTGTTAAAGGCAGGCAGCGCTAGGAATGCAATGCAATCCCCCATTAGATACTTGTTGGTAGGAATTAAGTTCACCCTGGCCAGATACCACACATCAGGATGGGTTGTAAAGTTACTGATAGTTCATACCAACATAATTAATTTCCAAGAGGTGCCGCCAATTGGGTCCAATTTGTGTCAGATGTGGATACATTAGTGCTGTGCCCTGAAATCCACATAGACTGGCCTGAGACTGTGCAAACTCAGTTCATATAACATCCTGTCAGTTACGAGGTGGGATTGGATTGAAATTCAAGTGTTAGAGATTAATAAATTTCTGTGTTAAAACAATATTCAAGCAAGCACTGTATACTCTATACAATGACCTTTCTACTCCTTTCAGTGAGTCCAGGAAAATAGTTTAACTGACAAGTTTTTCAATGTTGTGAGTGACATTTTAATTTGTGGCACCTTCTATGCATACAAGCCCGAGGCGCAAATTGTCAGCAGGTCTCAAATTGTAGGATTAATGAAACTGACAGATGAATGGTCAAACCCACCTTCCTACAATGAGAAAGCTTGCAACAGTGTTGTGGGGACTAACATTTTCGTATTTTTTCAAAAGTTTGCTTTTCTGTGTTACGTAAGGTAATGGTCCTGAAAGGGCTAATGCTGAAATCTGTGTTAAGCTCCAACTAATCAGATAATGCTGCCCAGGACTTGGGTGGGGAAAGACAGAACAGCTCGGATCTAGAAGGAGACACTCTGAGCATCTCGGTGTCTTCATAGTCCTTGTAACAACGTCAATCAGACCAATGCAACTTGTACCTGAAGCTATCATGCAATAAATTGCATTTTGTCTAAGACTAGAGCCTCTTCATTCTAGACTACCTAATAGTTTTCTTCTAGCCCACCAGACAAAGTGGGCCCTAAAGATCTACAGATCCCAACCCAAAAGGAGGATGGTAGCAGCCAATCCACCTGGTGGGAAGCAAGATTCCAGCAAGCTCAATACGACATGGTGTTGATGGTAGTTGCCTGAGCATTGAATTTAGCCGCACCATAACAATACCTGAAGCATCTCATTGCATTTGATGAACTTCAAAATCACTTCACGTAGAATATGAATTACTTTGACAAACATTTAGTCAGTGCACAGCAGGATTTCACAACAGCAATGGCCAGTTCATTTCCATATGCAGCTATAGGTTGAGGGAGGAGTGTTGGTCAGGATATTGAATGGTGTAATTGCATCTTCTTAGTCGTATTTAACAACTTACTGAAAATATGACACCTCCCGCAATGTAGCATTGTACCAGAACAGGGTAGCAATTTGGCTTATAAGACCATAAGACGTAGCAGCAGAAATTAGGTCATTCGGCCCATCGAGTCTGTTCTGCCATTAAACATGGCTGATAAGTTCCTCAACCCCATTCTCCTGCTTTCTCCCCGTAACCCTTGATCCCCTTGATGATCAAGAACCTATCTATGGGACAGACATTTGTGTTTCGGTGCATCTGGTGTCACTAGACAGATTTACATAGACATTATGAGGAGCTGTGCAATATGAACAAATCTCTGTCCCCATCTCTGTCCATGATCTGGATAGTTCTTGGACGTACACTCCAGTGACTTGGAGTTGAGAGTGTCCCTGAATGAGCCGAGCTGATCTCAGCTTTACGCAAATTCCAACATAGGTTGCCGAAATCTCAGAATTGCAAGCCATTTTTTTTGTGGAGGTGGGCTTTTAGTGAATTAGCTGCATAAGTGCCTCATTGTTAGGATAACCATTGCATTTCTACTCTGCACACTTTGGAATGTTGGTGGCAAAGTAGAGGCAGTGTCAATTTACAGCCTGTGTCCTGGCATTTGTTTGTAACAGATAGCTAACTTGTGTCTATCCCTGAATCTAAATCAAATATTGGCTGACGTGATAGCAGCATTCCACACATTCCCAGCAGACTCAAGGAATTGTAGAAACTGATCCCCGAAGGTAATCACAAGTCATTGAGTGTTAAGTACAAATATTCACAACTATTTCACACCTTCTTGTTTTGAATGGTATTTTTCATTTGGCACTTCATTTCTTTAACTTTTAGTAACATTTGCCCATCGATTAAATGATAGTGAGCTTTGCCATTGAATTGGTGGTTGAAGCATGGGAATTGCTTGCTGGCTTAATTAGATGTCGATGTGTCTTTTATTGCCTTGTAACTTCTGGAGTGACAACTCTGGAAGGAGAATGAAAATGGTGTGAAGGATTCCATGGAGTTGGCTGGGTTGAAGGGAACATTAAAGGCTTTATTGTGGACTGTGCTGTGCAATGGTGTCTGTAAGCCTGCATTCCATACTCTTTTGAACCCCTCTTCCCCCATAACACACACACCCTTTACTTTCTCTGTTCTTAAATCAGGATTCATTGCCCTAATTCCTGCTTTAACTCATGGAAACTTTGAAGCGAGTGAGGACCATTCAGCCCTTTCAGCTGTTCCTGCCATTCAGTGAAGCCACAGTGCCTTAGCTCTATCTACCCATTTCGTACAGTGCCCCTTAACAAACCTCAGTCTAACAAACATCTACCGATCTCAACTTCCAAATCTTAAATCGAGCCACAGCCTCTGAAGTTTTTTGAGAGAGTTTCAGATATCAACTACCCTTGGTGTAGTGTCAACTATGCTTCTTTGTGTAGAGAAGTGAGTGCTTTCTGATACCAATCCTATAAATCTAGCCAGAACTTTTGGCTGATGCTCTCTTGGGGATAGTTTCTCTCACTCTCTCTCTCTCTCTCTCCTTTTCTTTCCCTTTCTACCCCCATCAACTCCTTTACTCACCTTCACTTCAGTAGATCAACTCTTACTCTTCCATAGTTATGGGAATACAAGCTTAATCTAATGCCTTCCACAGAACAGAAAGTCTGGCATCTACCCGACTACTTTTATAATCCACAGATATCTCAAGGCCGTTTACAGCAAATTAAATATCTTTTGAATTAAAGTCACCATTTTAATGTGACAAATGGGACAGCCAATTTGCACGCAGCAAGTTCCAAATAATAATCACTACATTGAAATCTGCTTTTTATATCTGATAGCAACACATTAAGTGACGAAATGAAAATTACCCAGGACACTGGGTGTAACTCCCCTACTCTTCCTTATAACAGTGACATGGCTGAAATAACTTCACAGAGGCTGGTATCCCATCACTAAGTCACCCTTTATTTACACGTGGAGAGTCCTTGACATTGATCCAGCTCCTTCAGAGCCAGATCTCAGCGAACAGGATATTTGATACTCCTGTTCAGCCAGGACTCCCTGATTAGACCAGATTAACAGCCCCAGTCAGGGAACTCATATTCAGTCAGGTCCACCTGATAGACCTCATTACAATCAGTACATCCCTCCCCGTCTGAGTCTAAGGACATGGGCAGGTTCTTTTATTGTAGCTCCTCCTGAGGCGTTTTAGTGCCAGATCGGGTTCCTCCAACTCTGCCTCTGATACGGACAGCGTATAATGCACTGAAGATTGTCTCTTGCACCTGGAGCATCTTGAAAGAAATTCATTCACTTCTTTAGGCGACAGAAGTGTCGAGGCGGTGATATTTGCCGTGTCCATCTCAGATTCCAAGGTATCTTCAATTCTCCCTGACAGGGAGGACCCATGGGTTCCAGAACAGTCTTAAAGGGTGTTGAGGAACTGGGCACGTTTACTCCCAAACTGTTTGTGAGTTTACAGCTTTCATATAGTCCATATGCTTGTTCACACCGTCACACCTACATACACTTTATATGTCACAGTACCTGACCTCATGCCTCTTACCCATGCAGGGCCATTCCTGTATTTCCTATGCCAAACTTCATCCCCTGAAGTAAACTGTTTCTCTAATTTAGTGGAGGCTTATGTCTGGTATTGGTGTTCCTGATGCTGTTTCAACCTCCCCCCATCCCAGATCCAGGAAGATCAGAGTTAACCTGGTGTGGTGTCTTCTCCCCATTAGCTGCTCTGCTGGAGCTATCCCTGTAGCTGCGTGAGGGGTGGTTCAATAATCAATTAGGAACTGGGACATTTCGGTATCTCGTGAAGCTGTAAGCTGTTTCTATAAGCCTGCCTTCAAAGTTTGGACTGCTCTTTCTGCCAGACCATCGGATGATGGATGGTATGGAACTGTCCTTATATGTTGAATGCCACTTGAATTTATGAAATACTCAAATTCCCTGCAGGTAAATGATGGCCCGTTATCTGTGACCGACGCTTTCGAGAGTCTGTGTATTGCAAAAGATGTGTGTCGTTTTTCTATCGTTCATTTGGCAAATGAACTCTATACACATCCAGACACTTTGAGTGGGTGTCCACAATGACTAAGAACATTGAGCCCATGAAAGGACCTGCACAGTCCATGTGTGACTGAGTACCCAAGTACAAATGTGGGGGAGCTGCTGGCAGTAATTTTTGTCCTTGTTGGCAGTCTGGGCGCTGCCCCTCCAATGTGCCTATGTCTGCATCCAGTCCTGGCCATCAGACATAACCTCTCACCAACACCTTCAGTTTGGAAGTCCATGGATGGTGCTCGTGGAGTTCAAACAGTATCTGGCTGTGAACTTTACTGGGGAAAATCACTCTTGCTCCCCATAATAAAATGCCGTCCTCTACTGTGACCTGGTCTCTCGGGATTCAAAAAGGTTTCACTTCTCGTTGTGACGGTCCGTTAGTTTCCCCCATTACCACCAGCTGTTTCAGTTTGGCCAGGACCCAATCCTTCTGCATCCAAACTCTGATATTCTCAACTGTGACTGGAAATATGTCCAGAAAATGTAAAACCATTACAGACTCTTCCAGTGGTGGTACCACCGGTGGTATATCTGCCAGCAGGAGGCAGTTCAATGCATCCACATTTGTTACTTGGCCTCATGGATGGTGTTCCAATCTGTAATTATACGCACAGTATTAGAGTCTACTGCTGATTTCAGCCTGAAGCTATGGACGGCACTGCCTTATCCTCTTTAAGTAGACCTAGCAGGGGGGTTGTTATTATCACAAATTTATGTCCACAAGAGCACTGGTGGAACTTGCTGACTCCAAAAATGACGGTGAAATCTTCCTTCTCTATCTGACCATATTTACACTCTGCATTAGCCAAAGTCCTGGATGCATATACTATTGGGCATTCCTCTCCATTGGGCCACCATCGAGCTAATACTAACCCAATGCTGTACATGGAGGCATCGCATGTCAATACCAGATATCGCTTGGGATCACAGTGCATCAACACCATAGAAGATGATAGCTATTTCTTCACTTCGCTGGAAGTTGAGGCTTGGCTACATGACAATTTCCAAGGCAGACCCTTTAAGAGTTGATGGAAAGGCTCCACGATGGAGGTCAGATTATGTATGAACTTTCCATAAAAGTTCACCAGCCCAAGGAAAGACCTGAGCTCCAGTACTGACATGGGAGCTGGGGTGCCTTTGATCATCCTCACGTTGTCTTCCAATGGGTGTAACTCAGTCTTGTCGACTCTGTAGCTCAAGTAGGTTTGCGAGTGCCTGGAGCACACATTTTACCTTCTAATGTGTATGCTCGCCTGGAAGAAACATCTAAGGACTATTTCCAAGTTCTCTAAGTACTCCTTATTTCTTCCCTGTTATTAGCACATTATCTCGATAAATGGCGATCTGGGGTAGACATTGTAAAATATTCTCCATCGTCTGCTGAAAAATGTCACAAGCTGACAATACCCATGTGGCCAAGTCTTATATTGGTACAAACCCAAATGGGTATTAATTGTAGTTTACTTCTGAGAATCCTCATCTAACCTCATGTCCAGCTTCGTGAACGACAGCCCCCTGGCCAGCTATGTGTATAAATCATCTATGCAAGGGATCGGGTATTTATCCAGCTACAAAAATCGGTTTACCATTTATTTAAAATCCCCACAAAGAGGAACTGAGCTGTTGGGCTTCACAATCAGTACAACCGGTGCTGCCCATTCCACAAACTGGACTGGTTTGATGATTCCTTCGTTTTCCAGCCTCCTGATTTCTGCCTCTACTATTGCCCGCAAGTCAAATGGCACTGGGCGGGATTTGCAGAATCATGGAATTGAATACCCTGCAACTCATGCTCCACTGGCCACATTTCCTAATGACAAAGCCAGTTGTAGTGCCTGTTTGAAGTCCATTTGGGCTTCAGCTAGTGGGCACTTTTGCATGGCTACATCATTAATCCCACATGCCAAATAGACTCTGAGCACCTCATTAAGGGTTAAACCAAAGTCACATGCCTCTTAACCCAGTCAAAAAGCTCAGTGTGGATTCCCCTGATTCTCGAATTGTCGAGTTAAACTGATAGCATCTAGAATTAGAGGAGGCTTGGGGTCATAATATTCCTTAAGTAAATCCATCAGCTCTTGAAGTTTTCTAATATCTGATGCCTCAGGGAAATTTAGGCTACTAGTAACCGAAAAAGGTACGGGTTCACAAGCTGTCAGGAGAATTACTCGTTGCTTTTCATTTGCTCCAATATCATTTGCTTGGAAAAAATAATGCATTCTTTCCACGTACTGGGTTCAGTCTTCGATGGCAGGATCGAAATGGGCCAAGCTTCCCAAGTAACAGTGTGATGCCACAAGTGTTTACACCAACTCAAAGACAAATGTTGCAAGTGAATTTCTTCAGGAGCGTGCTTTTCCCTCGTCGCCACTGAAATAACTCCATAAAGGCTGGTAATCCTGTCACTGAGTTACCCTTTATTTACAAATGGAGAATCTTTAACACTGATCCAGCTCCGTCAGAGCCAGCTCTCAGAGTGAGCAGAACCTCTAATACTCTTGTTTACATCTGTCAGCCAGAGCTCCCTGATTGGACCAGATTAACAGCCCCAATCAGGGAGCTCATATTCTATAAGATCCACCTGGCTGATCTAATCACAATCACTACAAAAGCTAGTCTCAAAAATGGTGATAATGAAATGATAGGATTCTTGTAAAAACCCATCAGGTTTACTAATGACCTTTAGAGAAGAAAATCTGCCATCCTTACCTGGTCTAGAGGATTCCATGTGACTCCAGACCCACAGCAATGTGGTTGTCTTTTAACTGCACAATATAATGGTCTAGGAAACCACTAATGGGGAGTAGGTATCAATCCTCGTCCTGCCAACAATGGCAAAGAAAGAAAACAAAATTCAAAAAAGTCAAACAACAATTCGATCATTTCTTGCAGAAAAATAGCTTGTGTTTACATATTCACATCACCTCCAACCCATCACCCCGTTGATTAAACCCCCCAAAACTCTGATTAACCCTCCACCCTAATTAAATCCACCCCCCCTCACGCACACCCAAATTAATCCACTCACTCACTTTGATTAAACCAATCCTCCACCTCAACTAAGATAACACGGTGTAGAGCTGGATGAACAAAGCAGGCCAACCAGCATCAGAGGAGCAGGAAGGCTGACGTTTCGGGCCTAGACCCTTCTTCTTTTCTGAAGAAGGGTTTAGGCTCGAAACATCAGCTTTCCTGCTCCTCTGATGCAGCCTGGCCTGCTGTGTTCATCCAGCTCTACACCGTGTTATCTCAGATTCTCCAGCATCAGCAGTTCCTACTGTCTCTCCACCTCAACTGGCAAGTCTTTCAGAAGCAGCTACTAAAAGGACATTGTGTGTAATGAATAATTCTGAAGGGCCATTCACAACCAGGCAAGAAGTGCAGCCAGTTTGTGCCCAGTCAGATCTCACAGACAGCAAGGAGATGATGGAACCATATCACCTAGTTTTGCAAATTGTGTTGAGGGAGGAGCCCCTAGCTAAGGCACTGGGGAGGGATCTCCATGTTCTTTTTCTGATTGTGCCGTGTAATTGTGTCCTCATTCTTTTATTATACATATGAGAAGATCCAGGCCCCCTTGCCCATCAAAAAATAAACATTTTTAACATTTTAAGGGTTGATTATCTAAACTTTAGCACACCTGAGGTCAGTCCACACATTGTGCAGTCAGAGTGTTTACTCCATTCAATAAAGCACCATGTGTTTTCATGTTGCCTGAGATCTCCTCCTGGAGATAACACATCCTTTACTCTAGTACATTTTCCAGAATGTTTCAGATGAAATTTACATTCTCCATATACAGCAATGTACAGTGAGCAGCAAGCAATCCAGCAACTGTTAACAAAATGTGTTTCAGTTTCAAATACTTTCTTAAATTTTGTTACTGGTATCATCAGCAATCATTTCCCTTTACCCATTTTTCGAAAAGGTTAGAGGGAGCACACATCAATAAGTTGTACAGGCCTTAGTTAATCATCTGTTTAGATACCCAGAACCTCATTTCCCACTGACACAGCAACATTCCACTGAAACTCAGACAGATCTCCCCATCTTCCCTAATCAATGACACCCAGACTTACTTAGACACACTCACACACACACACACATACACGCCACACACACACACACACTCACACACTCACACACACACGCACACACTCACACACAAACTCCCCACACACACACAAACACACACACACACAGACACACACACACACGCCACACACACACACTCACACACACACACACACTCACACACACACACATATACACACACACAC